CAACGACACCGCGCCCAGCATGCCGCCGCCGGTGGTCTGGTTCAGCAACGCATCGGCAGTCTGCTGCAGCAGGCGCGATCGCTCCAGCGCCCGCGCCGATTCGCGCCAATGGAGCGCGCCATGCACCACCAGCCAAGCCCCCAGCAGGGCCAGCACGGCCACCACCAGCAGGCCGCGCACCCCGGGGGCATTTCGGTCCAGCACCTTGTCGAACAGCATGCCAACCCCCTCGCCCACGCGCTTCATGGCACGGCTTCGGCCCAGGCCGAATGCGGGTTCAGGTCTGCGCCATCAATCGGCGGGATACAGAAAGGCATCGATATCTCCTATCGGCCCAGGCCGCCCGAACAGATACCCCTGGAACCCCTCGCACCCATGCAGCCGCAGGAACGACAGCTGCCCCGTCGTCTCCACCCCCTCTGCCACCACCTCCAGGTCCAGGCTCTTGGCCAGCGCCAGGATGGTTCTCACTATCGCCGCATCGTTCGGGTCACTGAGCACGTCCCGCACGAAGCTCTGGTCGATCTTGACCTGGTCCAGCGGCAGCCGCTTGAGGTAGCTCAATGAGGAGTAGCCCGTGCCAAAGTCATCCAGCGAGAACCCCACGCCTTCGCTTTTGAGCTGCACCATGCGGGCAATGGTGTCTTCGATGTCTCCCAGCAGCAGGCTTTCCGTGAGTTCCAGCTTGAGCTTGCTTGGGTTGGCCTGGTGTTGCTGCAGGGTTTGCAGCACTTCGGCAACGAAGCCCGGTTGCCTGAATTGCCGCGCGCTGACGTTCACGGAGATGGACAGGTGGGCGGTTGCGCTGTGCTGGCTCCAGCGGTGCAGCTGTTCGCACGCGGTCTTTGAGCACGTATTGCCCCAGCGGCAGGATGAGGCCGGTCTGTTCGGCGAGCGGGATGAATTCTGCGGGGCTGATCATGCCGCGCTGGGGGTGGCGCCAGCGCACGAGCGCTTCCGCGCCCAGCAAGGTGGCCTGGTGGTCTACCACGGGCTGGTAGTGCACGAGCAGTTCGCCACGGGCCAGGCCTTGGCGCAGGTCGGCTTCCAGGTTGGAGCGGGCGTTGACTGCCGCCTGCATGTCGGGGTCGAAGAATCTTTGGGTGTTGCGTCCTGCGGCTTTGGCCTGGTACATGGCCAGGTCGGCGCGTTTGAGCAGTTCGTCGACCGTGAGGCGGGTGTCTCCAAAGAGGGTGATGCCGATGCTGGGGGTGCTGTAGTGCTGGCCTCCGTCCAGCTCGAAGGGCTGGTTCAGGTTGGCCAGGAGTTTTTCTGCGACAGTTTCTGCCTGGGCGGCGGCGTCCTGCAGTTCGCTGCTGAGGTTGTCGAGCATGACGACGAATTCGTCGCCGCCAAAGCGGGCGACGGTGTCGGCTTCGCGCACGCTGCCCACCAGGCGGGCGGCGACCTGGGACAGGAGCTGGTCGCCCATGTCGTGGCCCAGGGTGTCGTTCAGGTCCTTGAAGTTATCGAGGTCGATGAACAGCAGGGCGCCCTGGTTCTTGCTGCGCTGGCAGCTGGCGATGGAGCGCTGCAGGCGGTCCAGCAGCAGGCGCCGGTTGGGCAGGCCGGTCAGCGCGTCGTAGAACGCCAGGCGCTCGATCTCTTGCTCTGCGCGCTTGCGGTCCGTGATGTCCATGGTGAAGCCATGCGAGACCACCGAGCCATCGGGCTCCCGGTGCGGGACCGCGTTCGTCATGTGCCAGCGGATGCTGCCATCGTTCATGCGCACGCGGTATTCGCACTGCCAGGGCACCAGCTTGCGCACCGAGGTGATGGCCGAGCGCTGCACCATGGGCAGGTCCTCGGGCAGCACGCGGTGCATCAGCACCCCGTGGTTAGCCGTCACCTCGTGTGGCTCCACACCCATGAAATCGCGCACGGCATCGCTGATGTACTGCACGCTGGTGCCGCCGTCCGAATGCAGGCGGTATTCGTAGATGAAGCCGGGAATGCGGCTGGCGATGCGCTGGATGAACAGCAGTTG